TTTCGCGAACCAGCATTTCAAAACAGTCAGTGCTATTTCCACCGATCACACCAGCCAAATTTTCTTGGAAGAAATGGACCCATAACTTCTGGTCAGCATTGTGAGGCTGAATCTTTCTGACATACGACCTCAGGTGCAGTTTAGGACAATATACCACGTCATATTTGACAAAATTAGGGACCTTGAACTTAGCTGGGATGACCACCCCTGGAACCAAACCTAATTCGCTGAAATCCAATCCCATAATCTTTTGGACCTCCATAGCCTTAAGCCTATCCTCTAGCTGTCTGTATTTGTCATTAGTAGGAAGGTATTGCTCATCCAAGTAGTCCCCATCTTCAGAACCCTGGTTATTCTTGACTTCCTGCTTGACTGTTCTATCCTCTTCATCTTGATCATCATCTTCATTATAGGAGACTTCAACAACTTGAATTGGTTGGACAAGACCTTTGAATCTCCTTCCCAAATTGACATCAGGCTTCTTGGTCTTCTTCTTTTGCTTAACAAGGAGTGTCATTATTTCTTGTTACCCATTGGCCAGGTTCAGAAGAGTTTCCTAGAACTATGCGTGTTGATCATAGAGATCTTTGACATTCTATTCAAGATCCATTTTTATGCTGAAATAAACAACGAGAAAAAAAATGAGAAACCTGTACTAGAAAACCTGTTCATGAAATGATGCATGATATGTGAATGCAAATGCTTTTAAGGACTTCGAGAAATTTAAATTTGCTAGACAAGAGGAAACAAGAAACGGACATTTTATTAACAAAACTCAAATTACAACTACCTTTTAGGCTTACAAAAGCTTTCAAAGATAAAATGAACTCCTAAAATCTAAGAATCAAATCTCCCAAGGACGCTTCCTCTTTATACTGATGTAAGCATTAAGACTCTGCTCCTCTTGAAGTTGCCTTGTGAGTTCCAACACTTTCTTCTCACTTGCATAGCATTGGGTCTCAAATATGTCTCGTTCTTCCTTCATTTGAATCCAAGACCTTTACAATTCTTCAAGATCAGTAGGCATGCCGGGGAGGAGAATGGTATAAGGAACATCCCCTTCAATAACAGGCTCCATAATTATTGGTAGGATGGTTGGATATGGCATCAAGAGACTTTGAGCACGAGCTCGTACCCATTTGAGATATGGATCAAGAGGGATGGAATTATTATACCCCAAAGTATTGCTATCCATTTTTCTTACCATGCCCCAAGCATGTACGGACCTTCGATGATAAGCTTGGACATCGTTCTTGTAGTCGAATATGATACCTTGAATGAGTGCGTCGTGAGGACCATCTCTTCGAGCATAGCCAAACTGTTGTAGAACCAGAGAAGGGTTATAAGTAATACCTCCCTTAATGCCTAAGAATGGAACATTAGGGAATTCCCCATAATGGTAAATGATAGTAATGTCCTCCTTAGATCGAGAAAACCAATGGATATCCGTATGAGAAAGCGATATTAACCTTTGTGACCACCTCAACTCTGCTAATTCTTCAAGACTGATCGAGGAAGGTGCGAAATAAACCACCTAGACAACAAAGCTAAACAACACATAAGAGTCCATCGCTTCTTCATGGTGAGAGTATTAAGAGAGTGCAAGATGTCTCCAAGTAATGTAGGCACAGGGTTACGAGTAAGGAAAATTTTGATAGCATTCACATCTATGAGTTGGTCAGGATTAGGAAAAAGCACTAACCCATAGATTAGAAGATCCAGGATCTCCTCAAAAGCTTGTAAATCCAAAGTATCCCAAAATAGTCGAGCCTTCTCCATCAGAAATTTAGCCAAAAAGCCTTTGACCCCATTTCTTATCTCCCAATTATTCATGATGCCAGAACTCTTCAGATGTAAGGCCTTGGTAATAACTCCGGGTCTTGGAGTTTCCTCTAAACCGATGAAGGGTATTTTATCAAGAACAAACACTCCTAGTAGTTAAGATAATTCTTCAATTGTAGGCACCAATTGATAACCGGGGAAAGTGAAACAATGATGTACGAGGTCAAAGAATTGAAAGAGCACCCTTATCATGTCTTATTTGAGGCTTGAGGTAACTAGATTGAGAAGTCGACCATATCTTTTGGTGAACGAAGAATTTTCAGGAACCCTTGAAGCTAACTCTTTGAGTTGAAGAGGCACCCTTATGAGGTTGATTCATATGGTATTTATGCGGGCAGAAGCCATAGTCTGCAAAACAGAACAAAGATAAATTCCTTGGTCCTTGAAATGGTATGAATGTTATGATGTATGATGTTATGTTCGAATAATTTAATGACACACACAAGGCCTTATGTTAAATCTTGCATGGAGTTTATAAGTAAGTACTCTCTTGAAGTTTAGTTAGTTCAACATGTCATAAAGAAAGTAACCGGGTTCTAAAGGATCTCAATATCACTGATCTTTTTTTTCGGGCATTGTTTCAGCTCAATCTTCTTTATTAGTGACCGAAATATCCCGAAAGTCCAACCTCGATGAGTGTAGCATCGAGTATCAACCAACTTTATTCTTGCACCAAAGTCGGCTATCTCACTACTTTCTAATGGTTGAGTTGTTCAACTAAGGTTCTACGGTCAGTTAGTGCTTTATGGCACCACACAGCGGCCCCATATTCTCCTTGAATAAACTCAAGGGATACTGGTACCAACAAATGTGTCACACTAATGTAGCCATCACTTTAACCATGTCGGTATTACGCTGCACAGTCCCCATGATCTTTTGCTACTTACCTAATGTGCCTCAGATACGGGTATATGATTTATACAAGAATACCCAAACATAACCCGAAATGTAAAGCAAGCAAGTCAAACAGGTAAAGAATTTAAATATGATCTAGCTCTAAGGTTACCCTACTTTTAGTATTCTCCCCGGCACAATCGCCAGTTCTATAATACGGTGGGAGAATTGACTTTACTAGTTTTGCGTTTTTATCGCAAATGTTGCGGTTAGCAAGAGTCGCCATCGATTTTTCTTTTATCCAACAAAGGAAAGGGTAAAAAGAATAAGAAATACCTTTTTAAAGATTTTGAGTTCGGGGGGTAGATTATGAAAAGGGAAGGTGTTAGCACCCTTTTCATCCGTAGTTATCTAAGGGCTCTTAGTTGCTAGCCTACTTTGAAAATGCTTTTTGTGTAAGTGTGTTTTGAAAATAGTTTGACAAGACGCCATAATACAGCGAACTTTGTAATGTTTCTCGTTTCGTTGAGAATGTATACAAAGTGTTTTTGACTTTAAAAATCATTTAGAAAAGAGTTTGTGTATGTGTGAAAATTGTTTTATTTGTTTTTATGAGCAAGCAACTATAAGCGGTCTACCTACTCGAACGGTCTTTGTTCTTTTCCTCTTTTCCTTTAGACAATGTCATCCTACTATTAATCAGTAGGTAGCCCTATCGTTGGATGTTTTGAGGGACATGTGCGGGTCATCGTACTATCACAAAGACAACTTGTAAGATACTTTAGAAATTACCCTAAGGTCTTAAGATCATTTACCGAGGCAATGTCGAAAGGGTCATCGAGGGACTTGTGATCTTATAACCAAAGGGCCACTACTAAAATTTTTCACGTTTGAGAAACGTGAGTGTTTTTCCGAAGGCAACAAGTAAAGGTATCTTAGAGGTACACGTGTGCGAATGTATTGTGTTTCAGTTATTTATCTTTAAATATTCAGGTGTTCTAACGTTTGTTTTGAGATCTTATCATGCAATCCTATTAGACATTTATCTAGCAGTTAGTATGTACAGAAAATAAAAGTGCGAGAATTTGAATCTATGCTATTACAATGCTTCGGGATGGGGGAATTACAAACAAAAAATGAGGGATAAGAAAATGTAAAGGTCCTAATTTAAGTCTATTACATCCCATATACAATTACATAATATTTGTGAAAATAATAATGCATATAAATAAATAAATACGCGGAGAAGAGAAAGCCCTACAAAATTTCTAAGTGATAAAAGAAATATTTTTTTTGGTTGTTTTTGTTTAAGAAAAATAATGATTAAATTAAGAAAAACTATAATTCTAATTAATTAAGAAAAGAAAGTGATTAATAATAATTAATTAAAATTAATTTTAATTAAATAAAAAAACTAAGTCTAATTATTTTTTATGATTTTTGATTTTATGATGTTTTTATAATTTTTTTTATGAAATTAATTAAACAGAAATGAATTAAATAAGAGAAACAAAATAGAAAAAAACGAAATGGACCTTGCTGTAAAGAGTAAACAGGGGATGCGGAAATGAAGCCTTTAGGCCCAACAAAAAAATGAACAGGCGCTGCAAAAAAGATTAGGGGTGAGAAACTGAAAGTGTTAGGCCCAAACAGAACTGGGCCCAAGTGCTGCGTCTGATCTTGTGGGGCTCGGCTCCTGGGAGTGCACCATGGGAAAACATTCCTGGACACATTGGATCAAATCTGTACAGATCTGATGGCTGAGAGTACCTCTGGACCAATTAACTCGTTCAAATTTAATTCGATTATTTTTGTATTAAGAACTTATTACTTTGTAATTTTAATTTTGAGGTAAAGTTTATTAAGTATCAAACGAATTTAATTACATATTTATCCGTTAAAACGATTAATTCCTAAATTAGACATGATGTTTTTCATTTGATTGTTACATGTATTGAACAATTTTTTTTTGTGTAAGAAAAAGTTTTAATGAAAGAATATTCTATCCATAGTAAAAATGTATCCCAATCCAACCTATACGTTTTTAGTGACAAATTACAAGTAGAGCATCTGCCAACCAAACCTAAGTGGCGTGGTCTCTCTAAGTCCAACACGCCCCATTCTCCATTCTCTTCCTTCTGAAACCCTAATTTCCCAATTCCCCTTTTTGAACCAAAACTCTTTCAATTCATTCACTGTATATACACATTTTGCTTCCTTTTTACCCTCCTCGGTTGCATCGCCTAATCAATTTCAATTTCATCACCAAAAAAAGTTACAACTCGTTTGAGTTTCTGGAGTGTTATGATTTTACTGTTCTAGCAATGGCTATCGAATCTTCGGTTTTGGGTCACCATGTCTTCAGTTCGGGTTTGAAATTTCTTTACCCTATGCATGAGATTCGCACAAAGAGAATCCCAATGAAGGTTTTGGGTACAAACAGTAGATGCTTATTTCCTATTGTGTCAAATTGTGTAGGTCCTTTCAGTTCTACAACCTTTCATGGTTCAAATGGTTCATATGGTTCAAGTTATGTAAACAATGTTAAGTTAGTTCGTGGAACTAGCTTGAAAATGAAGTGTCTTGGTAGTAGTGATAGTGAAAGTGTTGTTTCCAATTCCAATGCTAATTTGAAGTTCATAGATGAGTTTTTGGTGAAGAGTGGGATTGTTTTGGCGGCTACTGTTTGTGGGGTGTTGGTGTTTGGCTGTCCGGAAGTTTTCGCCTCGGAAGGTGTGGTGAAAGCTGGATATGGTGTTATTGGGAAGAGTATACTTTTGCTTAAGAGTACTTGGCCAACTGTTTTGCAAGTTCTTCGTTTGTTTAAGGAGCAAGGGTTGTTGTTGGCTTTGCTTTTAGGTCTTTCTGCGTTTTTCTCTCTCGCGGAGACATCAATTACTACACTTTGGCCTTGGAAGGTATCGTGCTTATTTTTTCCTTTCACGAGTAGTGACTATTTTCATATGTAAGTTCTATAAAAAGTAGGAGCTATGTTTAGAAATCTGCTGAATTTAGTGTAGTTGGTAAAAGGATTGTTGTCAGGGCTGGATTGAGTTTTGGAGGGTGAGATTTTTGGAAATAGGATCATAATTCATGATGATTTGGTAACATAGCTGACAGTGAAATTTATTTTCATTTCTGACTGTTGAAAGTTTCTCATTTTTGAAGTAATGTAGTTTGTTTTTTTAGATGATGAGATCATACTAACCAGAAATTCATCCTCTATCTAACTGTTTGAGAATCAAAACTTCTTTGGTTTTGTTGAAGTGGTGGGTTTAAACTTTAAAATGAAAAGAGGAGAGAAATAATAAGAACAATGAATATTATAGATAATAACTTGATACTTACTTGATAATTAACTTGACACTGGCTTGAGACAAAAGACTAAACATGAATCCCTGTAAATAGGGATGTAAGACTCATAATCAGAAACAAATAGGAAAATCAGGAAACAAAGTTATAAACATAACTAATTAGAAAACTAATCTTAAGAGACAATCTAAAATACTTAGAAACTTAATGTTATTGGGATATTAACTTTAGCTATAGCCTATACTTTTAATACAACACTATCTGACATAGTTTGCCTTGTCTACATTTGTTTCTGCCATTGTCTTGCTTTAGTACCTTGGATCACGTCACCCCTGAAGGACGAAACATCATAATTTGATTGTAATATTGTGACTGGAGAGTCACATATTTGTAGAATCGCGGTCCTTACAGTTGAGCTTGCAGCAACTCGCCTATTTGTTGGCAAAAAAAATTAAATCATCAATGCCTTTAGTAGTGCATTTTCAAGTTTTTTTATTGTTCCTTTGATATGCATGCATTCCTGTACATTAGATATGCAACACCCTATGATTAATATGGTTAAGTTTATGTTTAAAGCTTTGATGTCTGATTACTCTTGTTGGAATTTTTTAAGGTTCGTGAGTTGGCTGAAAAAGAGACTGAAAATGGTGTCTTCAGACTACTCCGAAGCGATGTTACTCGATTCCTAACTACCATACTTATCGGCACAACGTATTGTTCTTTAACTTGTCTTTTAATTTATGAATATCATTTTCTTCAACTTGATTATAGTAGTTTCTCATGTCAATAAGTTGTGTGCAGTGTGGTAAATATTGCAGCGACTGCTCTGGTCACAGAAGCTGCAACTGCAGCATTTGGCGAAGCTGGTGTTAGTGCAGCAACAGGAGTGATGACTGTATGTTTTCTTTTTCTTGCTTGGATATTAATAACAGGACATCAAAACATGCTTAAATGATTGATACATATATTTGATCATCCAAAACTCAGATTCACTAGGCAACTTGATTGTTATTCATTTCAAACCTTGAATCTTTCAGTATTTCAACATGCTGACCGTTAAACTTGCAAACTCCTGATGTGACGGGAACCAGAGTTTGACATATAAAGCTTGCTAGCTTTATCACAAATTTGTGAAAAAGGTGCCTGAGCTAATCTTTGAAGTGGATAGAAAAGGGATTTGAATTGTCTGTTATTTGAATTTATACATTCAAAAAGCTATCCACGTGTCAGCAATTTAGGCATTTTAGGATGCAGGATATTCCTCAAGTTAAGTATCCTGTTTTAAATTTTATTTTGTTTTTAAAAACAATATTTTTTTTTAATAGTATTCAGTATTTTCAAACAGAACGTTTGCATCAGATTGATCACAAAACATTACTCCGAGTGTTTCTTTTTGACCCATAAACTTTTTTTATCTGCAACCTCTTTTATGATTTGTATTTGTCTCCAAAAATGTCATTGCCAGTACCACTCATCTGAACTGGTTCGGTGGATGGAAGTTACAAATTCTTTAGGCTATAAGCGGAGTTTGTTTATCATCTTAATTCTCATCGATGCTTCAGCATCTGTTTATTTGTTCTTTCCGATAATGAATTACGTCTGGTAAATAAACTGGGGCTCCGTGTAACCTTATTTTAACTTCATAAGTTTGTGTTTCTTCTCACTTCTCGTAAGTATAATATATGGTTGCAAAATGATACGCATGTCATAGAATTGTTTCTCATAATATCTGATTTCTCTCCTCTCTGTATAAGGTTGCCATTTTGCTTCTCACTGAAATCACTCCAAAGAGCATTGCAGTTCACAATGCCACAGAGGTGGCTCGGTTTGTGGTAAGTTCTAAATTTATTGTGGAAATAGAAATGTGCTGATCAAGTATTTTTGTTTATTTTGCACATCGTGACATTTCTACTTCAACATCTTTTAGTGACAAATATTAATTCTAATGCTCTAGGTCAGGCCAGTGGCATGGCTTTCTCTGGTACTGTATCCCGTTGGAAGGATTGTTACCCTTCTTTCAATGGGGATGCTTAAATTGCTTGGCTTAAAAGGAAGTAGGTATGCTTAAAAGATAGCCACTGATTAATCTTCTCTTCTTGTAATTTTGTTTATTGTTTTTACTTTTTTACGTGTGTCATGAAATCTGATTCTTATTTGTGATGTAAATCTTAGTCCCTTCATCACAGGGATGTCTTTTTTTTTCTCACTGCACCGTGAGAACTGCATTTTCTAAGGTTGTTTTTGTTTATAAGTGTGATTAAGAGATTGATTAAATGGAGAAATGAAGTTACTTCATTGATCACTAGGGTTTTATATGTGGTAGCTGCTAGATAGTTGTTGGTAATGGTTTTTGGGTTTGTAATTTGACCAAATCACGTGATACAAGGAAGTGATTTTTTTCTCTTGATGTATTTTTGAACTTGCCACCTTCGTGTGTTAAGCTCATATAGGATAAAGAGTGGAGACACAACCTTTTACTATTATAGAGAGTGTTCTGATATTTGTAAGATGTTTCACTGAGTGTTGATATTGAGGCAAACATTGGAAGCACATGAATCTTAACTGTGATAGGATAAAAGACCACTCTCAAACTAAACTGGAATCGCAACTGCAATATCTATATCTATAGTATTGTATTGGACTGAAAGTTGAGCAATAAATAGTGCATAGAAAGAGTAAGTTCAGCACAGAGATGAGAATATTGATAAATAGTGTTGTCAAATAGTGACTATAGATTAGTGGCTCTGTAGTGCGACAAAATTTGAATAAATTGGCATTGTTCTGTGATACACTATTTAGTACAAAGTGTTGTCAAAATATAGCAGTGCTATAGCTCTGTAGTGGTGAAATTTAAACAAACCGCAATTTCCTGCTATCCACAATTGACAACACCGTGGATAAGGGATTACAAAAGACTCGAAATGAAATCGCTAGAGAAAAAATTGGGGTAAATATTATTGTAGCAAAGGTAGCAGGATCTTGTCTTAGGTGGTTTGATCATATGTATAGAAGAGTTGTAAAAGCAGCGATAAAGAGGATGGGTCAGATGTAGGATAGTCTGATGGTAAGCAGTAGAGCTAAACTATAGAAAACTATTGAGATGTGGATTTAAATCGTCTCATTAACATGATTCGTATTGCCAACTCCACCTAGTGAGAAACTCAAAAAAGGCTTTTGTTGTATTTTGAATATGTTGGCAATACTTGTCTAGGAAGTTGCATCCATTTGTTGAAGCAATAATTGTGGGTTGTCCTCATTCATTTCTTTTTATTGCATTCAACACTAAAGCCAATATTTTTTATTTCAGTGAGCCATATGTAACCGAAGAGGAGCTAAAACTGATGCTAAGGGGTGCAGAATTAAGTGGGGCAATAGAAGAGGAAGAACAGGTAATGTATATTGGGTTTAATTATAGTAATGTCATTGCATATTTGTTTTCAAAATTTTCATCCCTTTCTCTCCTTTGTAGAAATAAAATTTATTAATACTACCATTATAAAAGAATTGTCTATACAATACTTTTTTTATTTTTATAAAACGGGACCTGAAATTTCATGTGAAAAACACAAGTTAATTTTTGTTTGTGTGGAAAAGTGCTTTTTTTTTTGTAATAACATTTTAGTGTTATTTCTTACTACACATACAAAAAGCCCTTTATTATTTCAAAGTGTTTAATCTGTTTTCGTATGTTTCTTCACTGACAAATGTCCTGAATATATATTATAGGATATGATTGAAAATGTGTTGGAGATAAAAGACACACATGTCAGAGAAGTTATGACACCTCTTGTTGATGTTGTTGCAATTGATGCAAGTTCAAGCCTTGTAGATTTTCATCACTTGTGGGTCACACATCAATACTCAAGGTATTTCGCTTCCTAGTTCAAATTCAAAGTAATAATTTTTCCTAGTGCTAACTGTATCTTGACGTGTTTCCTAGGGTACCTGTTTTTGAGCAACGTGTTGATAATATTATGGGTATAGCGTATGCGATGGATCTGCTCGATTATGTTCAAAAGGTTGGAAGATTTTTACTACTATTATTGGTTACAAGTTATAAGTGCTTTACCTGTTAATCCAATCGAACAGTTTGCAGAATTATAATCTGTTTGATTTTGAAGGGCGAGACTCTAGAAAGTATTACAGTTGGAGATATGGCTCACAAGCCTGCATATTTTGTACCTGGTAACTTAACTTTATCTTAACACTTCAAAATTGAATTGTTAAACTGGTTGAATTGTTTGAGCTAGGAACACATTTCTATCTGTTTAAACTTGATGCAGAATACTGAATGAATAAATAATTATTACTGCCTTTGCAGATTCAATGTCTGTTTGGAATCTTCTTAGAGAATTTCGAATCAGGAAGGTTCACATGGCTGTCGTTCTTAACGAGTATGGTGGAACTGTTGGGGTATGTGCTTACCATACATGAATACAACCATCTCAGATCAGTTTGTTTGATATAACATGAATCTTTCAGTTTGTGATTCCCATAAGATGTATAAAATGTGATACGTTAAATCATATACTAAAAAAGAAGCATATTAAAAATATCAAATATTAATTAGAACATGCTATCACTATGTATCTTTCAATTCAACCTCTTTTTAATGTTAATTGTAAAATATGCTTATAAAATCAACATTGAAATCATACCAATAAAGTCTAACAATTTTGACGAGATGACGGTTTTTGAATCGACGAGTCCTTATGGCTTACGTATCTTGCCATTTAACAGCTTGTAACTCTTGAAGACGTCGTTGAAGAGATTGTTGGTGAAATCTTTGATGAAAATGACTCAAAGGTAAATCTCATTATAAATACTTCTGTCTAATCTTTACATTTTCATATTTATTTACAACTTACTGAATAAGACCATGTATTGCATCTGTCTATATTCTGTTTTACCCCCAAAAAGTTGGGTATCCTCTTTACAGTCCCTTCTTTTCCCTAACAATATTTCTGTATATTTGCATTTGGTCGATAAAAAATCAACAAATTTAAAGAACCTTTTTACATTCTTTTGCTGCAATTCTACAGGAAGAAATACAGAAAAAAACTGGTTACATAGTAATGCGAGCCGAGGGTGTATTTGACGTCGATGCTAACACATCCATTGATCAACTATCTGAAGATTTGACCATCAAGATGCCAGAGGTTCACTACATTTCTTTTTGTGCATGCATTTTTTACAAATTGGATTTCTTGAAATTAACCATGCGTACTACTCATATTGCAAAATCTGTTTAAGATTTGTGGACCTCGTAATACGATAGTTACCTCTATTTATTTTTTCAGGGACACCAATATGAGACAGTATCTGGCTTTGTATGTGAAGCCTTTGGATATATTCCAAGGACAGGAGAGAGCATCAGGATAGTTCTTGAAAGGGATGATGAAGATGACGACGATGATTCCAATGGTGACCACCAGGAACCGAAAGAGAAGAAACATATTTTCAAACTCGAGGTAATCACTTTGTTGCTATCAAATATTATCCCGTCCAGTGGTTTATTATTTATAAGAATTCAGCACCTCTGCTTGGCTTCGATGCAGATACTAGCAGGAAATGCGAGAAAGGTGAGCGCTGTTCGGTTTGAAAGGCTTAATAATGGCGACGAAATGTTGGAGACGAAAGAAGTAACACGAATGTTCCCAAAAATTGTAAAAAGAAAATGGAACAGTGGCGAGGAATCTGAAGATGATGCGGAATATGATGGATATGGATTTCCAAAGAGACGACAGGAAGACATTTCTTGTGAATATGTAGTTGATCAGGAAAATTCTCATAGAGATTAATAAGTTATTTTCACTTCAATTTTTTTATGTTCTTTCTAGTTGGCATGCTTTTGTGCCATTTTTGTTTTGTAATTTGTATTAGATGATAAACTTGAGATAAGTGTACAAAATGAGAACCAATGTTCTTTTGAAAAATAAACCAATGACATATAAAACCTTTCCATGACCATGATAGAGGGTTTTATACCAACAGAAGCCTTTTTTTCAAGGCTTGAGAAGTCCTAATAAATAAGTCATATTTTCTATATTAACTAGTATGATATCCGAGCGTTTGCACGGGTATCGGTCTGGCCCTTGTATTGAGTTAAGAAGAGTTCATGTATGAATAAAAAATAGCCATAATTGTAGTCTATCATTGTTCAACAGTTATATACACTTGTATTAATTTAAGAAGAGGTCATGAATGAAGAAAAAATAGCTACAATTAAAGTATTACCATAATTCAATAAAATGCAAGTACTTTACTCATTACCATTTATATTCATGATAGAAAAATAGTATATAATTGATAGTAATGATATATATTGATAATAACAAAAGAATATGAGACAAATATAATTAATTATCCAATAAGACATTATTGTAAACGAAAAGATTAGTTGTACCAATATTCATAAGTTGCATGTTACATAGAATAAGTTGCACACCTAACAACCATGGTGGTGAAACATAACATCATTGTGAGTTAAGTAAAGACACTCACAAGAACCAAAAATACCATAAGTTTTGACATAAACATATATTTTTTCTAGTTAAACTAAACACCTTAGCTAGGTTGAGTTTATCACGTGTCTTCAAAAAGGATTTTCATAAAATACGGTCTACGCATACACACAATTTATCATCCTAATACACATTAGCCTACCATGACTGCCAATCCTGAGTTGCATTGCCACGCTCCACCGATACGAAGATCTTGTCCACAGGTGGGTAACGGATGCCAAAGTGCATTGTATCACCAACCTTTAAATTGACTTCCTTAGCATAGTCATACCAGTCACCCAAAAGGTACCTTTCTACACTCCTTTTTCTCTTCTTCAATAGGCAATGGTATGGGACTCCGTTATCGCAATCTAAAATCCGAATCGGTCTGCCCCCTCCATGAATATAATTTTTGATTATGTTTCTGGGGATTTGCTGTTAATGAACAAATATTCTCAGAAGAATAAAACATGTAACTGATTTTGTATAGTTTTGTTACCAATGATCCCAATCGAAAGCTATAGATACAAATGAGTTTTGTACTTACAAGAGCATTGGAACGCACTGTCATGGGATCAACTACAACCCGACTCCAGCTTTGTTCTAAACTTTTCTCAGTAACAGGGCTATTTGTCCTGCATTATTTCAACAAAAACAATGAATTCTGTTAAAGGTTGCGAGTTACCTGATAACATTTTTTTTGAAACTAAAAATCAGGAAATGCATATTACTTATATCACAATTATAAATTATTTCGCAGATGCTATGTCTATGTTTTCATGTTCATCCAGAGGAAGTAAAACCTAAATACTCACTGTACATAACCGTTTTCGTTATTGATGTAGCAGAAAAAACACTATACATTGTTTCCTAACCCATTAACCATCAACAACATTATACATGACTACAAATAACCAATTTTAAACACATATGCAGATACAGATAATTATGCATTTTCACAAATCAAACGACATGCACCACAAAGATAATGACAGTTCAAGCGTTCACACTTACCTTGATGGTTTTTGGTCGGAGTTGGTTGCGGTTTTCGTGATGTCTTTGGAGGCCATTTTCGATTGATCTGAGGAGGAGAAGGCACATTGTGTGGGGGAGGGTTAGCTTTGAACATGGCTCTATTTTGTGTACAGCGTGTGAGAATGAGAGTACATATATAAGTGGACTCATTTTTGTTTTAATATTGATTACATCCTGACCATTGATCTATTTATTTTATAAAATAATAACAAAACTATAATTTTTATTCAGTTTAAAAAGATATAATATAAACATATAATATAAAAAAGTATGATTTGTATATATTAGGGAATAATTTATTATAAAAAAAGAGATGGAGAGACAAATGGGCCATTGAGTCGATGACAAAGAAGGAATGGAAGTACAAAAGGAACATTCTAGGTAATAGGGTTAAAATGAGTTTCTAGTGAGAAATACGGAAAAAGCGCTTCTACTCAAAAGTACAAACTGCGGCTTATCATAACCCGAAGTAGTAGTAGAAAGAAAAGCTCGCTCCAGCTTTCGGTTGAAGATGAAGAATGGTGGGGGAAAACAACATGCATGTGGGTAAGTCTGTAGCTATCGATGTTTAAGTATTGTTTATTTTGTTCATGGAATCCATAATGTGTTTGTTAGAAGTTATATAGGTTGTGAGTAATATCTCTGTATGATGAACATTGTTGCAGATCTGCGTCGGAGAATTCGTTGTTGGTTCAACACCAAAAGATCGAAAAAAAGTATAACAAATATGTTGAATCTTCATGTAAATTTCGCCAACAAATTGGTATAAAGATGGATATCGTTAGTTTTAAAGAATACTGTTCTCTTTCCGGAATACGTCTTGATTCTCCATCAAAAGGGAAAGGCTCCGATGAACCCCAACTGGAAGGAAGAAAATATAATGGTAAAGGGAAAGGGATTAATAACAAATCAATAGGCGTGAAAGGGACAACAAACTATGGGTAAGTTTTATTTCTGGAAATAATATATTTAAAAAGGCATGTATGCTATCAAATGTAGGTGTTGTTTCCTGTTGTATAACTAACTTTTGTATGTATTATCGTTGTCAAGATAATAATAATGTTGCAAAATGTTATGTTTATATTATTGATGTATAGTCCTGATAATAAGGTTATACAACTATGATTTATGTAGGTTTTTGGTTGGAAGTTCAGTAAGTGTAGAGTTCTTAGTTCTTTGTGGCCTGTTTTTTTAGCAGAATTATAGAGAATACAAATACAATGGAACCCAATCATATTGTTGTGTTATTTTTTATGATGTGAGTTTGTATGAAAAGTTTAATTGTATTGAAAATGCGTAAATAATTTGGTATATGATGAAGTTTTCAAGTATCTTTAGAAGGATAAACTGTATTAGATAAGATGTATGGAAAATAGAGTAAGATTAGTTTGAATATATTTGGTTTGGTGATTGAATCAGAAAATTTACTCCAATATATGTTGAAGAAAACGAAGAAACATGGAGCATGGTTGTATCTATGTGTTGGTAAGTAATATAAGTTAATTGTTGCAGCGGTATATGTAATTTTTTTTAGGGTTGAATGTCATCTAATTTAACTATATGTTTTACAATAACTACCGCGTGAAGTGATTAAGAAATGCCTAAGTGGACCGGTCAGCTCGATTGCCTTATATGGTTCTGTTGTACCCCAAAATTTTCCCTCCCTTTTCTTCAAGACATTTCTCATAAAAGTTCTCAAATGCTCAAGGATTCTCAAGAGCTGATCAGATAAGCTCACCTCCTAAGCATTGGGTTCACAATTAGGATTTTGATTTTCTCAAGGAAAATTGGACTTCTAATGCCTCAAATGACTTTCATGGTTTATAATAGGTCTCCAAGAATTCTCATACCAAGTTTCAAGTCTTGCATCACAAATTTGCCCAGTCAATTGCTCAGATGACTGAAAATCAACTGTGTTAGGTAAAAAGTCAAATGTGGTCAACATACAATCAAAGTTCAATATTTTTGGTCAACATTAATATTTTGAAGTCATATTCATCATTTGATCTAGGGTTGATCATAATTCCTCAAGAAAATCCATCAGATCATCAAAGTGGCAAAACTGTCAAAATTAGGGTTTTGACTGAGAATGATTGATCATTGACTTTTGACCTAGTACATGACCTAATGGCTTGAAACATGATATCAAGGACTAAAACACAATATATTGACCTAATTTCATGGTTCAAATCATTTTTAAAGATAAAGGGATTGATAGTTGAAATTTGAATCAATTGATGAAAAGTCAACAGTCACACAAAAAGTCAAACTTTGACTTTTTGGTCAACATTAAATTTCAAAGATCAAGAATCATCGAGACATTCAAAAATATCAAACTTGACCACCAAGAATCAACAAAGTCAATAAAAAGTCAAGATTTCCAATACTTAGAAAAAATTCTAAGTGTTTTGACCTTGATAAATTCACTACTTCATGACCATTTTTCATTAAGATGCAAGATGATTCAAGAAAAACTTTCAACATGAAAGTTGTAGAGCTTGACGAATTCTACAATTTTGTCCTTAAGGGTTGATGTCCAAAAAATGCTTGGATTGAGAGATATAGGCCCATGAAGTCATGACATTTTTATCAAAACACTTAGTGAAATTTTCAACAAGTTTGGTCAGATTTTTGTCCCAATTTCTTGGCAATTTTTCACTAAGTTCCAAGTTTATTTATCCAAAGTTGTCAACATGAATATTGTATACAATGTTCCAAGATTTCCAAAATGTCCAAGAGCTTGAATAGATCATTCTTGAGCTAAGAGATTTGAAGAGATGAAGTTGGGCATCTATTCTTAAATTATAGGTCATTTTGTGATGAACATAAGATCAAATCTCCAAGCCATGTTGCATAAATCTTGCTTTCCAGGCTTCTAAATTTCAAATTACTCCATAATTAAATGTTTACACAACTAATTGAATCATTATCCAAGTGATTGAGCCATTGTCCAAACCAATTTTCCATTTTTGGCACAAAGTTACCATTGCCATTCTTGAAAAACAAGCTTTTATATATAATGTCAAATCCTTGAGCTCCTCAATTATTTCTTCTGATCACACTTCATTATAAAGTAAATAAGCAACCTCCATGCACCCAACAAACTCAGGCCATGCTTGTACTTGAACCTTGGAACCATGAAAATCTATCCAACTTGATTTCTCACTTTCAACCAAACCATAACATGCTATCTTGATTTTCTGATTACTTCAAGCCTTAAAATATTTTCTCTATAAATAGAGAGATTATTTTCAAGCTAACAC